AGACCTCTCATCGAGATTCAAAACAAACACCATTAAAAAACATGGTTTAATGAAAGTTGAACTGGGCAAATCTAGGCTACACGCACTAGCTGCGACGACTACATTAGCTACTATTGGCTAGTGTTAAATATTAATGGTATAGTATTCACTAATTTGGTGAAAACAACAACAAACAAAACCAATCATCGCTTTACACCCGATTTCAAATGAGTGCGAACACTCGAATTTTTTTTCGGACGCTAAACTTTCACTCGACCTTCATTCACTCGACCACTTGGTAACCTGGCACAGCTTGAAGCGGGTAAAATTATCCAAGTATAAAAACCATGGTTAATGTATGTCTGTGGGCTAAATTCCTACGGTTTGTGATCGCACTACAAAACAAACTTATTGTAAAAACTAGTTTCGGTTTAACTTAACTTTCTCAGCTCACAATTACAGCGAAGCAGTTGAAAAATAAATAGCGTGACAAACACTGACAAGCACGCGCACTTTAAATCGCTTTTAGTGTTCGTAGGCTGTTCTTTGTTGATTTTACTAGTTTACTGATTAAAATGAAGAGGTTATCGGACGATATTCGGTGGATGGTTATTTACCATGAACTTATTTACGGTTCAAGCATTAAGGAAACTTGTAGAGCGTTACTTATAGGGAAAACTTTTGTTTGTAAAATTCGACAACTATGGCGTGGAAGGCCTCGACTTCTGACATGTAAAAGTGTCATTGTAAACTTGTATTCAATCAATCAGGGTTTTTACAGTAATACGAATAAAAATATATTTACTTCTTCGAAAGAAGGTTACATTTAAAAATAAGTTACTTCGTTTTCAACCTTTAATTTAAACAACAGTGTTGCAATTATTTTTTCGCTTGCTTGATAATTTTTTTAATGTAAACTTAAATTGTTTACATAACGAAAGAAAAGAAAAAATGTGTATTTTAGTTCAACATAAGAATATCTTTTCAAGATGCAGAAAACAACACCCTCAAGTTCATGGTTCTTGCAAAGCTATACCCAATTGTGCAAAGTATTATTTGCATGCATTTGATGTTTACAAGCTAATAAAGCCAAATTTAAACTACAAATCAGATAGAAAATTACAATTTTTAATCAAGTTTAGTTGATATTCTTCTAATTGTTCTCAATTGCATTGAGTGAAGTAGAATGTTCTGTGAAACACAAGGACCACAGTTATCTCGAACAAAGACCACCGCTTCTTCCTCCATAATTCTAAATGCGAAAGTCCCGCTACAGAAAGTCACGCATCACTTATTAAACACGTGTGCCTGGTTACCAAGCGGTCGAGTGAATGACGGTCGAGTGAAAGTTTAGCGTTCAAAAAAAAATTCGAGAGTTCGCACTCATTTGAAATCGGGTGTAAGTGCTAGTTTAACATACACCACGTAATTCTCAAAAATATATACTGCTATGAATTATTTTCTGCTCGATAAATGTCCCATTCTCGGTCCGAAATCCATCGACTTCGTTCACAACGGTGACGTCTTTGACGTATTGACTGCTACAATAGTGGTGGTAGTAGTRTGTGTAGTGGTGTTTCAATTTCTCTGTCAAACCTTTCTTGTCTATTACAAAAAACAATGCCACCAGATTTTTACTTAAGTTCAGATCTTGAATTTTACTTTTTTCGTACTGTCCTGACTGTGCGGCATAGATTTTTAAACTGCAAACAAAAAATTGGGCAGAAGACAAGTTATATTTCGATGTTATTTGCTTAAGATTAGCACTTTTTTGAATCAGAGGTAAATGCGGTCGATACACTAACGGACAACCAATCACAAATACGTTTTCCTTTACAATTTCCAGGAAAGAAACCAGCCAACCCACCATGTCACAGCCCTATGGACGTTGGAGTCATCATGGACAGATCAGGCAGYATTGGCTCYGCTAACTTCAAGAAGTCTCAAGACTTTGTGATTAAAATGATCAGGCATTTTGAGTACGCTTCAAGTGCGTCGCGATTTGGCGTCATTGCGTACAACTCTGTTGCAAATTTGATCGTGAAGTTTAGCGATAAGGCGACTCAGAATCCACATGCCTTACAAAACCTTGTCTATGGTAAGAAAATCTGCTTAAACTTAAACAAGCTGACATTTGAACAACGGCGGAAAAATCAATAGGGCTAGGTAGGGGCTTTCAATCGATTGAATTACTCTTACCCTATCACCTCAAGATGAGTAAMCAATTTTTTGTCATAAAATGGATTTTTGGAAAAAATAAWATTTRATCCAGTYTATAAAATTTTGCGATAGAATAGTTAGGAAAAGTTTTACTTTTAAAGCTGCATTGCTTATCATTTTAGTCTTCTTTCTATTAAGGTATCCGCTATCTCCGAGGAGGAACCCGTACTGACAGAGCGATCTCTTTAGCCAATAGCCACCTTTATTCTTCCAGCGGTGGTTACCTTAGCAACAGACCAAACGTTTTGTTTGTGTTGACTGATGGTAAAACGAACAGGGGGAGTCAGGCCTACAGCACTGTTCTAAGACCACTATTGGTAAGCACTTTGCATTTGTCAATTAACCATACATCTACTAACCATGTTCTAATAACTAAGTACATTTTCAAAAAGATTAGTGTTGAATTTCATTTTAGAAAACCTTTATCTTCTAGTTGTATATCAAGTTTTCACTGGAAAAAATCGCGCGCCATAAAGGTTGTAAATTTGATGTAAATATGATGTAAGTATCCAAAATGATGTAAATTTGATGGAAATGATTTACATCAAATTTACATCATTTTGGACACTTGCATCATATATACATCAAATTTACAACCTTTAAAGCACGCGATTTTTTCCAGTGTTTACCAGAGTTACTGATGTTACAGACAATTCATTAAGCGGAGACAGAATCGCATGTTGATGCAAATTGCATGGACATAAACGGTTTTATCATATTCACACATTTTTAACCACGTTTTTGTTTTTAATGCCAGTCTTTTAGTTTCCGTGATGACCACTAACCATCAAAACTCAATTCTCTTAAAAGAGCGTCCTCAAGTCATAAAACCATGAAGAGATATCTACAATATTATTAGAATAGATATCAAGGAAAAGCAATGAAAGAAAAAGGCGTTTTTGAACMTTTTTGGATATAATGAACAAGCCTGTATGTATAAATACTGGTTTTAATTACAGGGAAAGAAAGTAAAAGTGATTGCTGTTGGTGTGGGCAGTGGTATCAACAATAGAGAACTCCTGCAAATTGCCAATAATCAGAGCAAATATGTATTCCACGTCAATGACTTCAGCGGTTTGTTTGCAAAACTGAATGCCATTTTGAAAGCTTCGTGCCCAACTTGAACAGGTAAAACCCTCACCGAACTATTTTCACTGCCCCTGGTAAAGGTGTCTCGAACGTTTGACAAACGAGTAAATGTGATGATGCTGCAATGAGGACCCTCTAAAGCATGACACTTCTTATGTATCATTAAAAGAGAAAAAACAATATCGCAAAATCACAGTAATATATTTTTTGTTGTGGTCTCCTCCTAGCTTAGTTGCCAAGCTCTCCAGGTTTCAACATTGAGCGGCAGTGTCACAAAAGGAACTCCAGATACTACTACTGCTTGTTTTACTATAACATTATTGGTATTGATTTGTAATCCTTTTTTTTGCAGATACTTGGAATCGTCAAAGATGCGTCTAAAAGGGAAACATGATTCGAAATAATGTAGTCTAATAGCATAAACACATCTCTAGCTTAGTTCATTTATTTTTGGGGGTTGATTTGGGGAATGGATTGACAGTGCTGAAGTACGGGGATAWYAGTTATGGCATACAGCTATTTCARAAAACATTAGTAGTGAAGATATAGTKCATTCCAATACCGAAATGCATTGCTGGCAGTAGTATTACCGTTAAAAGTGGTTTTTGTTGTTATCACTTTRTCTTCGATGGAAATCAGAAATGTCCWTTTGCACTCCACTTACGAAGAATCCACTGAAACCAATGTGATTGCGGTCTTGGAATTCACGATCCAACGTCACAGTAAAGAGACCCYTTGTAGTTCATAGGAATATAGCTCCACTGGAAAACATATTAACAATAGATTCTACCTTCCTAGAGGCAAAAATCTTTTGTTTATCCTCCAGTTGAAGTTGCTTGACGTCAAATGCAAGAGGTCTATTCCATACTAACGCTTTTTGAAAAAGCTGTATATCAAAAGGGACTTTGTTTATCATATTTTGCTTAATCATATGTCTGACAAGCGAGGTGGTTGCTTATAGTTATATGTTATAATGCATATGTTTTTCTCGATTCTTTCATTAAATTATCAACCAGTCTCATAATAATATGACAAMTACAAACAAATTGGTTGTTTCCTAGGATRATGATCGCTATCTGCCTCAMCTCTCCTCGCTCCTAGTGTACTTCYTCTGTCTTGTAAGATATATGGTTCGGATCTCTCGTGATTATCCCACTGAACAATGATAATTAGTTTAGTTTTATTTATTTTGTTCATTTATTCAGAAATCTGTACTTTGAAGATGTGTTTCAATAAATCAGAGCTACTTCAAGTATTGATAATTGATTTGTTTAGTTATACATTTCGCGTCAGTTTGA